ATATTTATTTCTCACAATTATGAAGGGTGGAAGTTTAGGGTTAGGGTTAAGGGTCATTATTGCGGGCCACCATAACATCAGTAACAGGTCAGTTTGAAACCAAAGACACTAACCTGTCAAAATTCAGTAAAATTTTGGGGTCTTTTTTTTTTTTATCCTTGTGGTATCCAAAATGGTATCGAGTATTTTCCTGAGTATCGGTATCCAGTTGAACATTTTAGTATGGTGACAACCCTGCCTCTCAGTTTGAATTTGTTATTTTCCCCTAAAGGAGTCTGTCAGACATCGACCAGGACGGAAAGCTGACGGCTGAGGAGTTCATCCTGGCTATGCATCTCATAGATATGGCCATGTCCGGTTTGCCGCTGCCTCCTGTGCTCCCGCCCGATTACATCCCCCCAACTTTCAGGTAAATCCCCTCTTCATTATGTGGAATGTTAGAAAAAATACCCCAAAAAATGCCTTTTATAGATTTGTTACACCAGCAGGAAACAGATGTTACATCAACGTAATGGTTTGGATTTAAGTTCTGATTAGTGTGTTTTGGACCCCAATTACTGAATATTTTGCTTAGGACTCTTGTACTCTTTTACTATATCCATGTATTATTATTATTCTATTATTAAGGCTTCTTTAAATCTAAAATATCCTTGTTCTCCTGGAGTACAGAACTTGATAAGATATGTGCTAAATATGTGTGTGACAGACTAGACCCAATTTGTGTTTTATCTTTATTTATTTAAATGCTTGATAACCCGGATTTAAGGCAATAAAGTTTAAAAAAAAGTGTGTGTTTTGTTTGTGTAACTGTGTGTGTTTAAGGCGTGTGCGAAGTGACAGCGTCCAGTCGGACCAAAAGAGCGTCCATGAGGAGGTGGAGGAGGAGGCGGAGAGCAACCAGGAGAAGAAACTACCTGGTGATTTTTTTTAAATACATTTTCTTCCTTTTTGTTGTTTGGTCGGTGCATTACGTTTGCGGTGAAACAAGGAAGTTTTACAAACCCTGAGTTTTGGTCACGACGGCCTCTTTTAAAGGAGACATATTATACCCTATTTCAACAAGTTAAGCTAGTTCCCTGGTGTCCTAATGTAATGTCTGTGACAAGCTTTGGTCCAAATCCCATAAGGATGAAGCCCAATAGCAGTTCAGTCCCCCTGCCTAACCCTAACCCTAACCCTAACCCAAAACAGCCCCGTTCAGAGCGCTCGCTTTGGAGTGCCTGTCTCTTTAAATGCAAATGAGACACAGGCAATCCACCCACTTCTTCAGGGAGGTGTGCCCACGACGGCACGCTAACGCTACCATGCTAACGC